GTCAGCCCAATTGTTCTGATGGTGGGATACGAAACAACAAAGATACTGCTCTAGGGACTGGTTGGCATGTTCAGCAGCTCCATTAGACTGGGGATGGTAAGCGGAGGAAAACGAGAGAGAAATACCCATCTCTGTACAAAAAGCTCTCCAGATTCTGGAAATAAATTGGCTACCCCTATCGGATACAATTGATACAGGAATGCCATGCAACCGAAACACCTCCCTGGCGAAGATAGAAGCAAGTTCCCTGGATGAGGGCAATTTGACAAGAGACACAAAATGAGCCATCTTAGAAAATCGATCCACTATCATCAGGATGACTGTTTTGCCATTCGAAGGAGGCAATTCATCAATGAAATCCATGGATAGATTGGACCAAGGCCTCTCAGGTATGGGCAACGGGTGCAACAACCCACAAGGAACTCTATGAGAAGACTTCATACTGGCACAAGTAGTACATGCCCGAACGTAATCGGTGATATCCTTGCGTAAGGAAGCCCACCAAAAATATCTAGAAACTGCTGTTAAGGTTTTAGAAACACCAGGATGTCCAGCAGTTTTGGCGTCATGATATAACGACATAATGTCCCGTCTTTCGGGAACATCAACAAACAGTTTATCAGTAGGTTTCTCACTGGGTGCCATGTTTTGTTTAGCCTGTATAATTTGTAAGAGTGAAGAAGAAATAGATAGAACCGTAGTAGCTATTATTCTGTCCGGGGGAATGACAGGGGTATTATCAAACTCTTGTTTGTCAGTAGTTTCAAGTTGTCTAGACAGAGCGTCAGCTTTAGTGTTATGATCACCTGGTCTGTAGGTGATGATATAATTGAAATGGGATAAGAAGAGTGACCACCTGGCCTGCCTAGAAGACAATCTTTTGGCTTCACTAAGGTAGGAAAGGTTTTTGTGATCCGTAAAAATGAGGATGGGGTCCTTAGTACCTTCTAAAAGATGACTCCACTCCTTGAGTGCTAAAACAATAGCAAGGAGTTCTCGATTGCCTATGTCATAGTTCTTTTCGGCTTTGGACATCTGTTTGGAAAAGAAGCCACAAGGATGTAATGGCTTATCAGGTGATTCTCTTTGAGATAAGACAGCACCTACCCCAATGTCCGAAGCATCAACTTCAAGAATATAAGGCAAAGAAGGGACAGGATGCTATAAAATAGGAGCAAAGGCAAAAGTGGTTTTAAGAAATTCAAAGGCTTCAAGCGCCTCTGGGGACCAGACACGAGTATTGCCATCCTTTTTAGTCATGCGTGTAATAGGCGCTACAATAGAAGAAAACCCTTTAATAAAGCGTCTATAATAATTAGGAAATCCAAGAAAACGCTCAATGGCTTTCAGTCCCTGAGGTAAAGGCCACTCCATGACAGCAGAAAGCTTCTGGGGATCCATACGAAACCCTTTAGCAGAAATTACATAACCTAAAAACTGTACTTCGGATTGGTCAAATAAACATTTTTCTAGTTTACAATAAAGACCATTAACAAGAAGGGTTTTCAAGACTGTTTTAACATGCATGTGATGGGTATGTAAATCTGTTGAATATATTAATATGTCGTCCAAGTACACTATCACAAATGAGTGAATGAACTCTCGTAAGACGTCATTAATAAATTCTTGAAACACTGCAGGGGCGTTACAAAGACCGAATGGCATTACAGTATACTCGTAATGACCACTCCTAGTATTGAATGCAGTTTTCCACTCATGACCCTTTTTTATACGTATGAGATTGTATTCACCTCTAAGGTCCAATTTAGTAAACACAGTAGCTTGTTTTAAGCCTGTCGAATAATTCCATGATTAATGGTATAGGGTAAGCATTTTTTATAGTGATTTTATTTAGGCCCCTATAATCAATACAAGGTCTCAAATCGCCCTCCTTCTTCGATACAAAGAAGAACCCTGCCCCTGCTGGAGAAGAGGATCTCCTTATAAATCCCTTTTGCAGAGATTCTTTAATATATTCCTCCATGACAAGATTTTCTTGTGGAGACAAAGGATACACCCTGCCTTTGGGAGGTATAGTGCCAGGCAATAAATCAATAGCACAATCGTAGGGTCTATGAGGCGGTAATTTTTCAGCCTCCCTCTTATCAAAGACAGACTTAAGACACATGTACTGAGGAGGTATAATAGTAGACAAAGGAGGAGTAGTAGGAACATTAATAGAGTTCAAAGGGGTGATTTTAATTATACAAGACTCTTGGCAAGTTTCACTCCAAGATACTATTTGTCCTGACTCCCAGTCAAAAATGGGATTGTGAGAACATAACCATGGGTACCCTAACACAATGTGAGAGGAAGGAGAGGTGATGACCTGCGTGTAACATCCCTGTATACATATGCAACGGTTCAGTTTCATGTGTGATAACTGGGGAGCATAATGGTCTACCATCTATGGCCTCAACGGCCATGGGTGTCTTCTTCTCTCTAATGGGTACTTTGTTTTTCCTAACAAATCTAGAGTCTATAAAATTCTCCGCTGCCCCGGAATCAACCAGGGCTAGTATGTTTTTTGCTATGCAATTATTCTCTAGATGCAGAGAAACAGGGAGAAGTAGTCGATTAAGAGGCAATTTTGGGGACTTAGATATCACACCCAAGGCCAGTCCCCTATATGGCCTTAGGCGCGATAGTTTTCCGGAAGCACGGGACATTCTTTTAGCATATGACCCTTCTTACCACAGAATAGGCAAAGTCCCTCCTTTCTCCTATACAATTTTTCAGCATCATAGAGTTTGGCAACCCCTAATTGCATGGCTTCCTCCTCTGATACCTTGAAACTCTCAGGATTAGCAACTCTAGGAGTATTTAGTGTAACAAAAAGTCTATTCCTATTCTTAGTATATAGTCTGTCACGAATCCTATTGTCTATATCAATGAGATAGTCGATAAGTTCCTCTAATGGGATAAGAAGTTCCCTAGATGCTACCTCATCAAATATAGTATCAGATAGTCCTTCCATGAATGCTGTAGTTAGCCCATTGTTGGTCCAATCTACCTGCGAAGCAAGGGTATTAAACTGAATAGCATAATCACCAACAGACCTAGAACCCTGTTTAATTCTCATTAATGCCCTGGCGGCATTCTTTGACCTTTTAGTTGTGTCAAAGGTTCTACGAAAAGCCGTAAGGAAGCTATCGAAATTATGCACCATAGGTCCATTAGCCTCCCATATAGGATTTCCCCTCTCAAGTGCTTTATCAGTTAGTTGGTGCATAAAGAATCCCACTTTAGACCTGTCAGTGGGAAAGGAACGTGGATACATCTCAAAGTGGAATTCCACTTGATTAATGAATCCCCTGCAAGACTTAGCATCCCCTCCATACCTGGGTGGAGGGGTTAAATGTGCAGAAGCATTAGGCATGGAGAATACATCTGGGACAAGGGGTGCAGGAGGAGTTGGTACTGTTACCGGAGTAGTTCTAGATAAGAGTGTCTGGAGGGCCTGAGCTATCTGATCCATACGGTGATCCTGCTCTATAAATCTAGCCTCATGAGAAGCCAATTGCTGACTTAAATCTGTGGGGTCCATGGCCCTATCGTAATGTCACGGTAGTTTACCCCTACACGCAGGATTTAGTTCAACAGTCGACAGAGCAGATACGACTTACCGGACCTTAGAATGGCCAGACTCGCCGTATAGCAGAGAATAGACAGAGTCAAGAACAAGCCGAGGTCAAGGGAACAAAGACAGCGAGAACAAAAACTAGCCAAGGTCTGGTACACAGTAGTCAGTAAGCCGGCTGACAAGACAAAACAGGGATAGAGAGAGAAACTGAGTCAGATACAAAGCCAAGGTCAAGCACGAAAATCACAACTGAACACAACAAGCGCTAAAGGGAACTGAAACAGAAACCACAATAGGGCAGGGAGTTAAGGGAGAGGTAAGTATAAATACCCTAAACTTTACTTTGATTGGTCCCTGTCATATCCACGCCCCCAAAATGTGAGTGTCTGGGGAATGTGGGATGACAGGGCACATTTAATTTTTTGGCTCCCACTGCCCCTTTAAGAGCGTGCCCGAGACGTGCGGCACGCTCTTAGAGCTAGGCGGAACACGTGACCACATCTCGCGGTCCGTGCCCGCCTGCATTTGGGAGCTGTGCGTGGCGGGAAGTGAGGACCTCGGCGGGCCCCCGGTTAAGGTAAGTACCGCTACACCTGGTAAATTTTATCCTGCAATCCATGAACTAGTTTAGTAGCCCTTCTCTGAACTCTCTCTAAAGTATCAATATCCTTCTGAAGATATGGCCTCTCTTATACTGCTAATACCTCTCCCTATACAACCAAGCATTCTGCTAGCATAACCTGCTGCTCTATTACATTGTCTGCCTACCTTTTAAGACATTTTAAGTCATCATAAATAATTACCCCTAAATCCCTTTCCTATTCTATGAGCATTCTATGAGCATCCTGGCCTGGTTCCCCCAATAATGGGGAAAACCATTTTGGAATAGTTTGCCTTCTTATTCGGTTTCCTGACAGAGCTCCAAGCTCCTTTGCTGATCAGCTACTGACTTCTGCAGAACTGCACAAGCCGCTCCAGTTGCCATTCAATCAGCAGACCGCTCTCAGCCACTGAAAAATGGCACAAAGCGCAAAAAAATGAAGTATAGAATTGACAAAATCTAGCTCTAAACTGTATCTGCAGAGTTTCAACTACAGACTCCAGGCACTATGACCACTTTAAATCACTGAAGTGATATTGGCACTTGGAGTAACCCTTTAAGCTGGATGAAAGAAAAAAAAATCACACCAGTCTGGTTTTTCGAAATGTTTAATCAATCTCTCTCTGTTTTTGATTAATTTGCTTAAAAAGTATTAATACATTTATTCAACTTTTTGTTTTCCCAGTTAAGCAATAATGCGCAAAACTAAGATAAACACAAAATGGCTTTCATATAAAATACATTATTGAGGGAACCAGGCCCCGGGTACTCATATACCATAAGTACCCGGGCCCGATCCCCCAATAATGGGGAAAACCAAGCTCCAAGCTCCTTTGCTGATCAGCTACTGACTTCTGCAGAGCCATTTAATACCAAAGTATCTTTCATGAAAACTTCAAGTGGATATGGGATACACAATGTAAACACAGATTGCAAATATAAATACAATTTAATGACAATATATGACTATTTACTGAGGAAAATATTTTTTGACTAATTTTTTTTTCTTTTCTTTTTTTTACATTTCAGCAAAGGAGTATGTTTTAGGGGTTTTGGACACTTTACAACTCACGCTCTCTAACTGTGAACTTCTAAAAGGCTAGTCTTCAAATCCAACTGTGAACTGCCAGCCAATGGTTGACCCTTTCATTAGAACTTGCTAAACAGCTCCACCTGCAGGTCTTCTTGATCATATGGCTCACACACATTTGAGATTCCGATTCTTTATGGGTTGTTAAAAGTCAATCTCACTTATGTGCCTCAATCTGTGATTTATGATCTATGATGTCTATGATGTTGCAATGTGAAGCCTTTCATTTGTTAACAAAGAAAAATAGAGCTACACCTGCAGATGTTTTTTTTTTTCCATAATTTCAATGCGATGCTGATATAGGAAAAAATTATGAATTACGGCATATTTAAAAAAAAAATCAAAAAAAAATCAAATGACTCCTAAACAAACAATCTTTAAAGATACAACAGATTAGATTGCCAAAATAATTTACAGAGAATGTACACATTCTGCTTTATGTCTTTTTAAAGTGAAACTATCCGATAAACATTACCCCTATTTTTTTGAATGCATTATGTAGATAATGCAAAAAAAAATAAATCTGACAAAATTAACAAAAAAGATGTATGCTCTTAACATTTCCCTTAATACACTTTTTAGTGAGTTTAAATACCAGCAATTGCTAATAGTCATCCGGTGACTGCAATTTACCACAATTTGTGGATACGCTTTTCAAATGATTTAACATTTTTGTATAAAATTTTGTTTAAACTTTTGTATAAACTTTTAGTTATCTAATATATTTTTTTTAAAAATAATTAATATTTTTGAGGGAAAAATTATTGTAATAGTTTATTAAAAATATTAAATAATTTGACACGAATATCCAAAAATATCAAAGGCAAGGTCAAACTTTTCTAAAACTCAAATGTCATTTTAACAGCCATTTATCTCCCCTTTAAAGGGGGGAGCATGGTTTAACCTTAGTTTAGGACATGGCTTTAACTCATAAGGGACCAAAATCACATACTGTGCAATTCACAACTCATCACTCATGTAGGATGAATGGAATTGCTTTGTATATTAATAGCAGCCACGGCTGCTATCAGTTTATACATATCCTAACACACAGTTCAGTGAACTGGGCTCTGCATTCTCCTATTAGACTTGTGTACGGAAATACATTTTGGCTTGGCTGAACCATGTATTCCGAAAATAGAAAAAAACATTTATACCCAAATGTCTGCTTAGTGTCGGTTCTGCTTGCCATAATTTCATTACCAAGATTCCAATTTGGAAACCGAATCAGATTAACAAAAAATGGCACAAAAAATCACATAGGATGTATCTATTTTGCCGTACACCGATAGGACCATGTTCTTTCTATTATGATTTACTGTTTTTTTTTTTCCCCTTTATTGCTCAGCCCAAGTTGTGTGTATGATTGGACAAAACTGGTAAAACCAGCCTGGAACTCTCATTTTGAAATTTTGACAGGTGATCTAATTCACAGGAACCATGGGTGGCTCTACATACTACACCCCGAAATGAAACTCTAACAGATATATTTACAAAATTCCGAATTGTCCAGATTTCAAAGAGAATTCAAAGTGAATTTCAAATTTAAAGGATTACTCTAACCTTTTTTATTGTCAATATGTTATTTTAAAATTCCCTGTGGGGAACGAATTGCTGGTCCAGCTCCCAAGGGAAAAAACTGTAAAAGAAAAATAAATAAAAAGATAATATTTATCTTCAGTCCAGCGCTAGACCATGATCTTCTGTGTCTTGACTGATGTCACATCGTATCACTTCTTTCCTCTCAAATTTCCACATAGAGAATAATTTTATTGGATCAGTCCCTAACACTGCACATACAGATTCCTACCACTATGACCACTTCTAAAAGCAGTAGTGATCATGGTGGTTGGAGTAACTCTTTAAGGTCAAAATTGCTGAATTTGGTTAAGATATTTTGGTCTACAATTTGAGGATTACTTTACAGGTAACCTCCAGCTCAAAACAACTTAATTGAAATGAAGTTGTTATGGTGCCAGTTTTTTTTTTTTTTTTTTAAGAATGGGAGGCTACTGATTGGCTTAAAGCAGAAGCCGATGCTCTTAGGGAATCAGTGGCACCACTGGCCATGCAAGTCCTAGAATTCCGGTTTGAACAATCTCAGAGAAGCAGAAAGACACGTGGAGAGCTACATGCACTGGAGAGAAGACTTTTGGGTTTTTCCCCTAAAGGAAAGTTGGCCCCAGTTACGTCCTGGCACCATAACAACTTAATTGTGATTAAGTTGATATGGTGCCTATAGTGTAAGTTCTCTTTGAATTCTTAACAATTTTCACTTTTGTAAATAGCCCTGTAAATATTTTAGAAGTAGTGCTGCACAGACAGGGGCCTTGTACCTGAAACACTTTAGCAAGACTTTAACCCCTTAAGGACCAAACTTCTGGAAGTTGTCATGTCATGTGTCCTTAAGGGGTTAATATAAATAAACCCTTCAAAGCACTTCTGTGAGCTATTCAAAATATGAAAAGACCTTCTAAGGTGACATCTTGCTTGGGGCCCAGGAGTCCAGGAGTACAGTGGAAGGTAGCCTTACTAACCTGAAACTGTCCCTTATTCATGCACGAGTACAGTGCTGAAACAGGTCCTGGAGTGTTTTTGCAGCTCCTTGTACTTCTTCTGCAAGGTGTCTCAATATGTCATCTGTGATGTATATGAAGGATCCTACATGATCATGGGGGCATCCATAGTCTAAGTTTTGTGATCTGTGGAAACTGCACCTTTTGTCAAGTTTTGTCAACCTGGGATTTTATCAATAACATAGTCACTGCTTTGTCTTATATCTTTGCATTGCATTGCAATTTCAATTAAATTCCAAACCAGTCAATATGAATATTTCATAAAAGATTCTATCTTCATGAAATACTCTAAATGTTTGGTGACATGGCAGAGCCACTTTAATATAAATCAGGAATACTTTAATAATAGGGCGCTTCATACACTGTACATTATATGTTTTGTATATTCCGTGTTACAGTGTTGTTTACAATTGACTGTTCTTAAGGTGCTGCATGCTTTTTGTCTAAAAATCTGTGGATACCAGTTTTTTTATTTTTATTAGAAAGGATGTTTCTAAACAAACCATGAAATCCACGTTACCTACCAGGTAGATGTTATCACAGTTTGTATATTTTACTAAATGTTTCAAAAATACTATAGTTGGATCACATGTGGATGGCTTTTCAAATGACTATTAAAATAAAAAAATAAAAACATATTTTGCATTGTTTACATTTTGTTACTCTGTATTGTATTCCTTCTATTTACACATGTATGATGTCTATTTGTGTATTTTTAGATTTGTGTGCTTACATTTTACTTAAAGGAGCACTATAGGGTCAGGAACACAAACGTATTCCTAACCCTATAGTGTTAAAACCACTATCTAGCCCCTTCGCTATAGCATGAGTAGGGACATGTCTAGTAAACAGTGAGCAGTTACTGTTTAAAAAAACCAAATACCTAGTGTTCCCCCTACCGAGGCCCGACTGGTGCCGCGCATGTTTTTATTTATTAAACAAAATGGGGGACCTATTGCCCCCACCCCTGAGCGGAGGGTGGGGGTCCTAAATAACAATAAGGGGGGGGGACCTATTGTCCCCCCTGGCCCCCACCCATGGGTGGCAGATGGGGGTCCTAAATTAAAATGTTAACCCCTCCCCCAGATGACTAGGGGACCCCAAGTCCCTACTCTCCCCCCACCCCCCACCCCCTCCAAAAAATAAACCCCTACCTACCCCCCTTTCACCCTAAATATAGTGAGGGGGGAACAAGAGAACTAAATACCTGTAGGTCCCCCCCCCTTATTGTTATTTTTAGGGCCCCCACCCACCACTCAGTGGTGGGGGCCGGGGGGGGACAGTAGGTCCCCCCCCTTATTGTTATTTTTAGGGCCCCACCCGCCGCACAGGGGTGGGGGCCGGAGAGGGGGAGGACTGTAGGTCCCCCCCTCATTATCTTTATGGCCCCCACCCGCCGCCCAGGGGTGGGGGCCGAGGGGGGAGGACAGTAGGTCCCCCCCCTCATTATCATTATGGCGTGGGGGCCGAGAGGGGGAGGACAGTAGGTCCCCCCCTCATTATCTTTATGGCCCCCACCCGCCGCCCAGGGGTGGGGGCCGGGGGGGGAGGAGAGTAGGTCTCCTCCCCCCCCCTTCAACCAGAAAGAGTCCCTGTGGGTTTTAAAATTCGCCTGCCTATTGAAGTCTATGGCGGTTCGCCGGGTTCGCGAACATTTGCGGAAGTTCGCGTTCGTGGTTCGCGAACCCGAAAATTTTGTGTTCAAGACATCACTAATGATGAAGCTAGTGCTGTTATTTAGTACTCTGGCAACTGCTGTGTGTGCTGTTTTGTGTGCAATCTAGTGCTGTGGCAAGTGAAATCTGGTACTGTGTGTGCAATCTGGTGCTGTGATGTAAAAGGTGCTGTGGGTGCAATATGATGTTGACAGGGCCGTCTTTAACACAGGGCAAACGGGCAGCTGCTCTGGGCCCAGTTACTTCTGGGGGGCCCAAAGCAGCTGCCCTGTGGGCCCACAACAATTTGGAGGGGCCTATCAGGTGGCCCATGCATTTAGGGCCACCCGATGGGTGTCTCTGAACAGGCACCCGGTGGGGTGCCATGGCCCTTTAAGAGCAGACCGGGCCCCTGTAGTATTAGCTGGATGGGAGGAAGTGACAGCCGATCACTTCCTCCCAGCTTCAGAAGAGAGCACCGCGGGAGGAAGGAGGCAGCAGCAGGTAGCAGCATGGGGGGGGGGAGGGGGGTGGCAAGAATGAGCTTCTGCTCATTCCCACTCCCATCAGCCTCAGCCAGCTCTAAGCTGAGTTGAAGGTAAGTGTATCCAGTCCCTGATCCTTTCCTTCTGGGTGAATGGCTGCAGCTAGGATAGTTTTTAGAAAAACCACCCCACTCAATGCCCCTGCCCTGCTTTCCCCCACTTACTGCTTATCTTCTCTGTGCCCCCACTTACTGCTTATCTTCTCTGTGCCCCCACTTAATGCCCCTGCCCTGCCTTCCCCACTCACTTCTTCTCTTTTCTGTGCCCCCACTCTCTGGCCCTGCCCTGCCTTCCCCACTCACTTTTTCTCTTCTCTCTGCCCCTGCCCTGCCTTCCCCCACTCACTTCTTCTCTTATCTGTGCTCCCCACTCTCTGCCCTGCCTTCCCCACTTACTTCTTCTCTCTCTGTGCCCCACTCTCTGGCCCTGCCCTGCCTTCCCACTTTACTACTTCTCTCTCTGTGCCCCCAATCTCTGCCCCTGCCCTGCCTTCCCCCACTCACTCCTTCTCTATGCCCCCACTCTCTGCCCCTACCCTGCCTTCCCCCACTTACTTCTTCTCTTCTCTGTGCCCCTGCCCTGCCTTCCCCCACTCACTGCTCCTGCCTTCCCCCCTCACTGCTTTTTTTTACCCTGTGCCCCCACTCACTGCCTTTCTACTATGTGCCCCCACTCACTGCTTTTTTTCTGTTTAGATTAGTTTAATTATTGCTGCAGTTGCATTTAAGCACAGGTGATGAGAGGATGCTAGCTTGTTGCGAAATTGTAAAGCACTTCAAACTGGATATTTTGCCTTCATTTATTTAGATCAACAGCAAAAGGAGATGTGAGAAAGTCTGGACAGAAGTGTCTTTTTCAAAAGTATAGCATAATCACGATGTTCCGCTTTGCTGGTGTCTACTACACAATAAGAGGTAACCAACAGAATGCAAGCTCTTCAGACAATGACAAGTAGCGAAAGCTATCTGTCTGCATTTAGACAAGGAATGGTCAGCCACTTTGGACAAGGCTCATTAGTTCAGTTAAACATTAATGTTACATTTGTGGAATCAATTTATAGAAAAATAACACTTTCATAAAAATTCCAAGTAGATTTCATTACTTGATTACATTAACGCCTGATTTATCTTCTGTGCTAGAGATATCAGAGCAATGAAAACACAGTCTATGGCCAACTGGTTTCCTCTGCTAATTCCTTCTCTCACCCAGACTGGAACCATTAAAGCATACAGACATCCATTCCCCCAGTAAGCAGAGGAAATATATTTCTGGGAGTCAACAGGTTTATTTCAGGCCACACACAGGGTTTTTTTGCACAGTCCCCTACATGGGGTCTCCAACACAAGAATACAGGGTTTTCATTCCCAGGATCCTCTGTGACTGAGAGATAGTTGCGTGAGTAAAACCCTATAATTCAATTATCTCTCAGGTACAAAAAATCTATACAAAATAAACAGTACCCCAAAAGTACCACCACCATAACTTGGAATCCCACAAATGTTACATCCCCAGATAGCCCTGATCTGAGTGTATAACATATTCAAATATTACTCAGATCGGTTTGGTGAAACTGGAATGCCACCCGGGTATAGTTTTGACCGGCCGGACACGAGGAGCTAGCCCAAAACAGTTTTAGGGAAATAGGTGCCCCAGACTGTCTCTGTTCAGGGGTTCGTGTGTGAATACCATGCAAGGGATTCTTTTAATTTCAGTGTACGAATGATCCCACTGTTCGGTAGTTCCCATCTCCTGAACGTCGTTTGCATTGTTGGTCTGAAGTAGAACGTGCAGCGGTCTAATCTTTACCGGGGTTCATGCGAGTGCCTAGCTGAAAAGAGTTCAGGGCACTCGATGACCAAGTGCCACTACCTACATTTGGGAGATAAAATGGTCGCCACTCCTTTGTCGACCATGTGCATTTGGTTATATGACACGGCGGCCACTCAGGACAAGCATTCATTAATTACTTTCCTTGTGGTTTCGCACTTAAGTTGGTGGTGTGAACGTTCTAATGGGGTACAGGGGTGGTCCTCATTCGGGAGACAAATGGAGGGTGTTCGTATACCATAACTCCCGAACAGAAAAAGCCAAAATTGGGCAAAACAGACTAAATAGGCTGTAGGTTCCGCCTCAGTCAGTACAGTGTACTTCTGAATCAATCACTTCTGACCATTCAACCTAAGGCCCAAAGGTGATAACCCATCTATACCTGTTTCCATTATGATGTTTGAATAGAAAAGTTTCTTATAAAACTACTTGGAGCAAAAAAAAATACAAACACACACCCAACCCTTAAAGCACACAAAGTCACACAGAAGGCAAACATGGTAAATATAAGAATAAGATGGCTGCTGGGGATGTAAGGCACTTTCTCAAAATTTGCAACATCATGCTCAGTAATCCAAATCTTTGCTGACCATGACAGGTGCAATGTATAGTAATGATGACATTATATCATTACCAATTTCAGAACAATAATTAATAAATCATTAACAATTTAAGCAGTACTGCCACAGTTTTGGGACTTTGCCAATAACCCCCAATGGTAAAGGTGAGTTTACTTACCTGAACCTGTCCCTTGTGGGCGCCGCCATCTTAATCTAGCAGGGTCCTCTTCAGCGTCGGCCAGGACCGGATTAACATAGGGGCTGATGGAGCTGCAGTTCCAGGCCCATGGAAAGGCCCATTAAAAAAAAGTTTTTTATTTTACACACTACTCTTAGGTCTGCCACCTGACTGGTATTTTACCAGCCCAGACAGTATTTGAGGCTGCCTGGCTGTGCCGGTATTGCAGTAATACCGGCAATACAAATGCAGATATTTTTCTCAGTATAAACAGATATTACTCTGCAATACCAGCACCAGCCAGTAGGGGTCACTGTGTGTGGAGAGAGGCAGGGATAGGAAGTTACAGCATATCCCTCCCTACTCACTAACCTGCGGGGGAGCAGCTACACAGCACAGAGAGCTCAGACAGCAGTTCCCAGCCTGCAGAGACAGACTATAGCTCAGGGAAGTGAGGGATGAGGGGAAAGGCAGCAGGGAAACATGGGGACACTGAGACACTAGGGGACACTGGGAGACCTGGGGATGCTGAAACACATGGGGATGCTGTGAGACATAGGGACATTGGGATACACATTGGGACACGGAGATGCTAGGGACAGAGTGTCTCCATGTCTCCCAGTGTCCCCATGTCTCCCAGCCAGTTTGCCTAGTGTCTCAGTGTTCCCATGGCTCCCAATGTCCCCTAGTCTCCTATTGTCTGTGTCCCCATGTCTCTCATCGTCCCCATGTCTCCACGTGTCCCCAAATGTCTGTATCCCCATTTCTCCCAGTGTCCCTATGTCTACCAGCCAGTGTCCCTAGTGTCTCAGAGTCCCCATGTCTGCCAGT